TCCAAACATCTAAACCAAGGGAATTCCTCTTCCTCAGACAGAATATAAAAATAAATATTTTCTGTCCAGGAACTGAATTATGTTTTTCTTAAAATTGAGTTTTTTTTAAAAATATTTATATAATAGTTTTTATTACTATAATGTTTCAATATATAACTGATTAATTAACATCATCTATTGAAAAATTAACGTAACTTTAATATTAGTTATATTTGAAGTAAGGTAACTACGCTCGTTTTGGACAAGATTGAATTTAACGAGTTACGAAGTAGCTAAACATATTTAGAACGGAAGAACTTTGTTTTGCTTATTTTCTATGATGTATGACAATTAAGTTTCATATGAAGATAATAGTTCATAACGATTTCTTTTAATCTGATGAGCCAATTTAATATTATCTTTTACTAATAAAATTATAGAATTGCTGAGCTTACAATAAAGATTATATTTTTTAAAGTGAGAAATTAAATATTTATATAGTGGAAATATTGGTATATTTTATTTTGAATGAATGTGAAGACTTTAGACTAAAATGATTATGTCTTATATGAGTTAAGATATCTTTTGTCTATTTTATGGGCGTAAGTGTTTTATAAAGAGAGAATGTATTCTGAATAGAATTCCTCTTCAGAAGAATAATATTAAAATTTCAATTTATTCATAAATAATATTGTATTAAACTATGATTAGTCTTACTCTTAAGAGTTTATAAATTAATTTTAGGCTAATATGGATCAGGCATGCAAATTTTTATACAAAATGTCCCCTAATTGCCCCCTACCTGTAAATATTCCTGAACACAACTTTCTCTGATTAACTTAGAGAACTGATATAAAAACATTTAATGATCTCTACATTCATTTTAGTATCAAAAAAATAATTCTAAAGATATAATTTGCAAAGATGTAAAATTCATAATTGGCAAGAGAACCAATAGCTGAATAAATTGAGTTTGAGAAATTTAATTTCATTTTTTAATTCATTTTTATAAGTCAAACATATTTTGGTGAAAATAAATTTTTTAAGGGAATATAAAAGAATTGATGTTATTAATTAGATTACTTAAATATATTATGGGAAATATTAAATATTTATTAACTTTAAAATATACAAAGGAATTTTAGAGTAAAATATATTATTTTGAAAAACTTACTGATACAATAGTATATTTTTATATTTGAATATATTTATTGACAATTATTTTACTGGCTTTGTTGTATTATATATTATTAATCAGCCTTTAATGATGTATATGATTAATACACGAAAAATATAATAAATTATTTATTAATTAATTAATTTTCTTTTAAAATTAAAAACCACTAGAGCTTGAAACTGAAGGATCATTTATTCATATACTATAAAAAAAATTAAATATAATCAAGAAAATTTTTAATATAATTAATTAAATTTTTGTTTATTTATAAGCTCGCCAACTCTGATGACGTATATATAAAAATATATTTTAAGGCTGATATAAAATTCTTACCTTTATAATTTTTTAAAGTGTAAATCTTGTAAATGAAGCTAAAAATGTTAAACGAATTTTTAAAAGCGAAATTTAGGAGATCGCATCAGCTTAATGGCATGGCAAGACTTTTATGAAAGGAAACATAATTTAATATCTTTAACATTGTAAAATTTGAATCGATTACTTAATTATTTATTTGATTTATTTCAAAGTTTTATAAATCATACTCGGTTAAAATAGTAACCTCGCGCGGCACCCTGTCAAATGCCTTCTCCAAATCAACAAGGTAAAAGGGTCATATCTAAAAGTTATTCAAAACTGAAATTTTTTATAACTTAAAGTTTAAATAAAGAAGCGTAAAAAAATGAATTATCGGGCTTTTATACAATTCGATCGTTAGTATTTTATTATTACATTTTTTTTTTGTAACAATTCATTTTTAATTAATTTTATTTGTTACAAAATTCCTCCGAATATTTATTTTTTTTAAGAATTTAATTAGTCTAATCTAACAAATAAAGTAATTTATATTCCATATTAACGTTAGTCGCTATATTTTAACCAAGTTCTAGATCAAAGCGTATAATTTATGTCACATAATTAGCTTAAAGTTGTTAAAGTGACATTATAAGCTCACGAATAAAGTTATGTCAAACCTGATTTTTTTCTACTCTCGTCATTATTTATTTATTACAAATATAAATTAAGCTTATTATATTAATTGTAATGCATTGTATATGGTCAATTTCAATTCCATATCAAATCGACAAATAACGTTAGTGGCGACTCCCTTGGATTTTAATAAACCTCGGTATGTAGAGTGTACGATTAGTAATTTCCCCAAGATATAGATTTTGGTCTAGTCGGTGGGAGGAAACATAACCCTTTAGATTTCAAGTAACTAAAACAATGACATTTTTGATCCTAAATGGAATAAAGATCGTAACAAGGTTATGCATCTCATAATATTCGCTTTCGATGATATTCTAATTTTAAATTTTGTCAAACCAAAATGATGGAAATCGATTTCGAAATTATACCTTGAATTTTTTTAAAATTTGTCAAATTAAAGAGTTTTTAAAATATTTTAAGGCATGTAAAAATTAATTTGGGATCTCAAACATTTTTTGAATATATTTTAGATTAATGATAGAGTATTGTATTAAAATTTATTTAAAACCTCGGAATAAGTGTATTGACTGATTTAGGGATAAATTTAATAAGGGCTCATCTCGAAAGAAGAAAATTTTGATTATAACCTGTCTTCATTAATTCTGGGTTATTGACCAAAATTGTTTCTGAATTCAATGCTTCCTGCCATATGCTAATTACTGCCAAATAAAGGTTATATCAAATGAATTTTAACCTCAATATGAAATCTGGGAAGAATTTATTTTTTGCTGTTGTATTAAAAATTCAAAACTTCTATAATTATGAGGATTATAGTTTTTTTTATACTAATGATAAAAAATATATGCCCTCTATGAGTCCAAATTTTTATTGGCCAAGTAAGAATTTTATTGCATATAATAAAAATGAGGGCACAAATTCAGTAGACTTTCGGAAATTTGCTTTACTACAATCCCTTAATTGCATAATATTAAGTCACCGGCTCCCAAATTTGTATTTGCACAGTGCATCAACAACTATTGATTATAGCATGGAATTTAAATTATATAATTTTAAAATTTTATTGCGCAAAGCTTGTGTAATCCACTGCATCAGAGCTTCTACTTAGATCATTGTTATTCATGTTTTGGAAAAAGCAAAATCAAGATTAGATTAATAGATATGTATAGGAATCTCCGTTGAATCTTTATCCTTTGGAGTAACCGGTTTAATTTGAAAAAATTTTTAAAAATAGATTTTGCGCCTTTTAATTAACAAGCTAAGAAAGTGTTATTGAAATATAATAACCTGTTCAGGCGAGCTAGTACTAATTAGCTCCAGCTCAGCGTTGGATAGGTCAATCATACATAAAAAATTTAATGTAATAGAAGAAATCATGCCTGTTAGGCAAATTTTTATTCTTCTATCGGGAAAAATGTTGTCTTATTTGTTTAACCTATATATATATCTCTGAAAACACAAGCATCACAAGCCTTTAATCTCGGGGCTAAAAATTTTTTTAGCTAACACTATCCAAAATTATCTTCCTTTTTTATAGCTAACATTATCTAAAATTGCATAACATGCCTATTTTTATTTTTTTAGTGGTATAAAATTTTTTTAAATAATTTTAAGGGGGCTTTTATAATTTTTTAAGGGGCTCGAGCCCTGAGTCCTTTTCCCCTAGTGACTCTATTGCTGAAAGCTATTTTCTCTCACAGCGACGCTATTGCTGAAAACTATTAGGTCTTTTCAAATTGTTAATTTAAAATAGGTTTAATTAAAAAAGTTTAACAAAAAAAAGTATTTTATTTTCTATTAAATTACAAAAATTTTTCTGACTTCCTTACCTTAGATTAATAAATAATAAAAAATACTAACAATTTTTTTTTAATTCAATTTTTTATTAAAATTCATATACAAATATGATAAAATATTATTATTCAAAGATTAACAATATAATATAAAGAATATAATAAAATATGTCATATATAAGTTTAAGTTAAAAAAATGGATACAAATATATATTTATATAAACAGAAAAAACATATAAAAACAAAAAAATATCAAGTGGCGAGGTCGGGCCATGATGTTGTATTTGATAATTAGATCTAATTATAGATACGGCGATTTTCTGCTTAAGTTTATAAAATGGAGAAAGGTATGATTTTTTTATTGATTTGGATATTATCTTGAAGAGATCTAATGCCGCTTGTCCAAAAGAGCAGGTTGATGTAGCTGCTATGGGAAGGAAAGTAGTTGAAGTTGTCACACATTAGGTGTGAATATTTTATATTTTTTAGAGATTCGGCTCTGTTAAGGGGTAGCGAATTATTAGATGGGGCCATGGGATCAACGCAGAAAAAATCCCACATTAAAGGCTATCCCTTAAAAAAGGTTTGAATTTTTTAAAAAAAATTATTAATCATTTTTATTATTTATTAATCTAAGGCAAGAGATGAAGCCAGTAAAATTTTATAATTTCATAGAAAATAAAATACTTTTTATCGCTGATAACTATAGGTCTTTTTCAAATTGTTAATTTAAAATAGGTAAAATTAAAAAAATTTAACAAAAAAAAAGTTTATTTTCTTTAATGTTTTTGCCCTTTCGGGCGAAACATAAGAAATATAACCGGACATTTCGGCCTTTATGGCTTCCATGTCCCAAAGGCCTTTATTATTAATCAAAAATTTTTGATATAAAACGCAATAGAAAATAACAATGGATATAATATCGTGATAATATGTATTTATGTTAATAATAAAATATACTAACAATTTATATTTAAAAAAAAATTAAAATTTGAGAAAATTTAAATTTAAAAACAAACGTAAGTAAATCATAATATTATTTTTACACTATAACGAAAACTTCAATAAGATTAACATAATAATATTTACATTTTTATAAACAAAAATGAGGCTAAGCTTGTGTTTCTAGGGGTAGTAATTTCCGTCAAAATTAATTTGGATCATATGTTATAAATCAAAAAGTAATTGAAATTGATTGTTTGAAATGGTTAGTCTCCAAGACGATTCAAAACAGGTTTTAATTAAAATTTAATTATAAATTTATATATTTATACATGTTTATAGTTTGTAGATATTGGAGTTCCTGAGGATGATGACGAGGCATTGATTCGAAATGAATTGTCTGCTAATCAATTGCACATTTCTCATTTTATTCCAATGCCTATTATCCCAGTTTTAATTTTAGAGATAGCATTTGTTGTATGCAATTATAAGAATTACTATAAATTTTAATTTTTTTTGATAGATTTTATTAATAGCCTTTGGATTTTTAGTTGAAACTATATGTAAAGATAAATGCCAAATTAGTCCTTATTTTATTCTTCAACTCTCACATGTTGGTATGTGGTTTATAGCTTGGATTATAGATAGATATCTGCATGCAGAACATTTTAAATCTAAGATACGAGGTCATCTTATGTATTATTATACAACTCGATGGATAAGAAGATGCACATTTTATGTGTTTTGCTTTGGTATTTAATTATTTTTATTTAAAATTATCTTTGAATAATTTTCTTTATAAACTTAAATCTTATTACAAAATCTAATATATATATATGTGTATATAGATCTAATATTAAAATTATGGATATATTTAATTCTAAAATATGTATCAAATTAAGGTAATGCATACCTCATCATTGCAAACATTATTCTGTATTATTATTGTGATGCCAAAGAATCAACTTGTTTCCATGTCAAATTTAATTCTTTGAATATCCTTCAACTCTCACTTGTTATTGAATCATTTTTCATCATTCCTGCTCAAATATTATATGTTTGTAAGTTATTATAAACATTTTCTTAGTTAATCACACAAACATTTTTAAATCCGGAAATTAGGGAGCTGCAAAGCCTGCCATCTGTACCTCATTTCAAATGGGCTTTGGGTCAGGCTGGAATGGGCCTAATATTTTTTTAATAAATGGCTCAAGCTAGACCAGGCTTAAATTTCTAAATATAATATATTTGTGAAATAAATTTATATATTTTTAATTTTTTAAGAAACAAGGCACCAATATTTTTGTTTATAAAAATATTATTTTTACAATTAAAATTCTGTTAAATTTTTCTATATTTAAATAAATTCAGGCTGGGCAGAAAAATATTTTTGCATATCAGGTCATTCAGTGAAATATTGCGAAAATTTTTTGTGGAACATTTTAAGCGAATATCGTTTATCGTGAAGAAATTTTTTAGTGAAGGTATCATTGCTAAACCAATTCTGGGAATTTTTTCCCGCAAAACATTTACTACTGCGAATTATTTGCACAAAGTCATTAGGTGTACTTACTGCGAAACAAATGCATTTATTTAAAAGATATAAAAATATTTAATATTAATTTACCCATAAAGGTTCCTTAAATCACAAATGCATGTCATAATAATAACACTCCCTTTTATAAGTAGTGATGGAGATGATTTGATACCTTTGTCTAGATATTTTTTGGGAAAATGTTTACTCTCACCCCTTCATGATATAAACTACCAGAAGACATAGAGTAATGATTAATTTAAAAATTAAAATGTCATGCTTATGCACTAAATAATAAAAATTACTAAGAGGTATATTATATTTTCTAAGAATTCAATTTTGAGAATATAAAAATTTTTACTTGGCAACTTTTGGGAATAGTAAAAATTACTTTAAGTAGTTTTATTCTGAGTAATTAAAGGAAAAAGAATTAATATATGTTAAAGTACTAACCTACATATATTGTAATTGAGCATTATATATTGGCATAAGCTTCATAATTAGTGCTTGTCAATTTGGCAAACTTCATGTTTAAGGCTACGTCTTAATATTAGATTCAGAGTCCTTATCAAATTTTTTGAAAATATAACTAATATTTTATACAAGAAACAGAAGTATCCATAAGGATCGTAAAATCATAAGATTCTGAAATTGGGAAAATCCCTTTTAATTTAGATCAGTCTAATGAGTAATGTTATAGTTTTTTATTTAGCTTATAACTGTTTTTGGTTAATGACTGAGAAAACTGATGATAAATATAATTATTAAGTACCCGTCAAACAATAAATATTGGCGCAACCCTGATATCAATTTCGCCTGTAAGGATCAAGGTTTAACTAATGATCTCAATGATTAATATATTAATAAAGGTTAAAAGAAAATTAAAAACTTCATTGAATCAAATTTGTACATATTTTTTTAAAAAATATTATTGAATTAATAATGATAAAAATAGAATAGTCACTATTAACAATTATCGCGATATTGACCTCACTATAATATCTTCGCGAAATGGGTTTCGCGATAACGACCTTGCTATAATACTTGGCGATTATTGATTCGCATTAAAGGTTTCGTTATAAAGCGATATCGGAATAGTATTCTCTAATGTGGATTCGCGATAAAAGTTTCACTATAAAATCCATTCGCTATAAAATTTCGCTTGAATTGATATGAAATCAGATTTTTGAGATAAATAATTTAAAAAATTGTTCAGAATAAAAATGGCTGAGAATGGTAAAGATTAGGCTTGATGCAGGTCACTACTGGAAATTATCGTAATTTTCGGCTTAATTTAATCATTTGAAATAAATTTTATGCGGGAAAAACCAAATAAATAAAACTTTTATACATTAATGAAAATTCAAAAATTATGGTTATCTATCATAATATTATGTTTAGACACAATATATTTTAAATATTATTTATCAATCAAAAACAATAAGTGAGATGATATATCTATACACATTTACAAATTGTTTTATGAAATTATAATTTTTTTTTACGATTCTAAGGCCATATCATATCAATTTAATTTATACATAGAGTAAAATATTTTAAATATAAATGAATATTATAAAAATTATAACAAAACCTTTATAAAAAAATTGATTGATTTTTTGACAGGCATTCGATTTTTAGCCAACTTTTGCAGCTAAAAACCGGTTGAACCCCATTTGCCAAAAACTATCTCAACTTTTTTTTTCAAAATATAGCTCAACTTTAAAAAAGGCAAAAATAACTTAACAGTTACCAATTTTTTTTCGCCATGCACCTGTAGATTAAGCCCAATTAACCACTAAGACAGGAGTATAAAAAAACATGAATAACGAATTATTAGAGCGAACTAGCTTTGTTATTATTTTTTTAAATATCAATTCTGCATCGTGTGGAGTTCCGCGAAAATAATATCCTGATGAGTATTGAATACTTATCTTAATTAATATCTTAATTACACCGGTTTTTGATACAATAATACATACTTGTATAGTATTGGGATATGGAATCCAATGGGGATTCAGAATCTATGAATTTTAAATCGTTTGCCGGAAGTGATTTTAAAATTCGAAGGTATCTGATTTGACCAGAAATATATTTCAACATATATAGAGTATCACTTAACGGAAAAATTATCTGAATTTGAAAGGGCAAGTTACCCAACATAATAAATAAATTTTCCGTATTTTAATTTTTTATATTTATACCTGAGCCGGCCCTAAGAGCAAAAATAGATGTAACATATATTTAAAAAATCCGGGCCGGGCCGTGCAAATGATATATCAGCAGGTCTGATGTATATTTTAAAAAAAAAATTTATTACGGGATGGGTAAAATCAAGATAGAAATATTAAATTTTATATAATAAAAATACTTGCAATCTTAGATCACACTATAGAATTCAACAAAGCAAGACCCTTACCCGATATCGCTCAAGAAGATCTCGCATCTCCCGAACTACCCTCACAAACCGCTACCACTCATTTAGGCTTTAGGTTTTTTTTATATAAAATTCAATTTGTCTATCCCACATCTAAGGGGCATTATATTCTAATTTTTAAAAAAAAACTAAAACTTTTAATACTTTATGCTGGATTCACAGTGAGAACCGATCCGACGCGATTTAACAGCCAACGATTTAAAAATCCTTTAAGGAGACCAATTTTTTATTTATTTAAAAATCAAATAATTCTTAGATATCATGAAAAATTAAAAATAATGTTATTAACTCATAAAACAGATTTTAAAATTGATCAGCAATCATTAATGAAATCCCACTATGAATCCAACCTTAACGTTTTTTTTCTTATTAAATTAAAGTTGCCGGCTGACTAAATACTTAAAAGTAATTTCTGCCTTTTTTATAAGCATTCATGACGAATCTTCACCATTCATTAGGGCTAATTCTAAGAATACCTATTTTCCTTTAAACCTTGAGGGGTATTCTGGGGAATAGTAACTAGAGATCTGCAAAGTTACCCAACTTCGGGCGGGGCTCGGGCCTAATTCTATTTAAAATAATCGAGTTCGGGCCAGGCCTAATATTTAAAAAAAAATTCGGGTCGGGTCGGACCTTGAAATTTTTTTTAAATATATCTAAATATATCAATTTTATATTGAATTTTTTATGTAAAATAAAAATATTTGATTTTATTTATTGCTAAACGACATATAACATATGCCATTTATTTTGAGTATAAATATAGATGAATTTTATTTTAATAAATTCGGACCTGGCTTGAAAAATTAGTCCCGATGCAGACCACTAATAGTAACACCTTTTCTTACAAAAAACCCTATATATTTTGACATAGTTTCTCTTCAGCAGCCTCCTATTTTTACTAATGCTATATTTCTCCCAAATTTCATGCATTTTTATTAAATTATTTTTATCTTTTGTAGTCAAAAGTACATATTTTATTCTTTATTTATTTTTTACGCTCTTTACAAAAATTATAAAATTTTTATTTAATATTCTTTTTAATTAAATTTATATTCTTCTATTTATAATATGACCTGTCAGGTTATAAAAAAAAGATCAAAACCAAACTAAACACATCTTTCAAACTTTTAAATAATCTTAACCCATAACTCTTACCATCAATACTACTACTTACTTCAGATACTTGTTTATTTTAAATATATTTCATTCAATTAAAATTCCCTCCTTTGAGCGATTATCATATATGGCAATATGACCAACCACTATCGTTATCCCCCCCCCCTTAATAGGGCTGATTTTCTTTAAATCAATTATTGAAGTCTAAATTTTACTTACCATAATTATATATATATTTTGAATCTATAACCGACATAAGTTCTAGGGATTACGTTAGCGAAATGATAGAGAAACAAGCCGACGCTATTAGGGCCCTTAAGAATCACAATTATATTCTAGCCCGGAAAATTTACGAGCTTCAACAAAACGCTAGCATGTACGACAACGTGGAAGAATGAATTTTTATATGCAAATACTTTATAAAAACAAACTTTCATTCAATTTTTTATATTCATATTCTTTTTTTAGTAGCTAGAAGAGCTTCGTTAGAGCTAATGATTTAACAATTTTGTTTTTTAGGCTCTTTTTTTAAACTATTTAATCATTTATATTACCCTGAATCCTAATCAAAGGATTGAGAGTTTTAAATGTTAATTTCCGATAGCGATTTGGAAATTAAATTCTGGACCTCATCGATAAATTTCAACTGACTCGGGATTAGACGGCATACCTTTATATAATAATATGCCATTGATACTAAATATGTAAAAATCAAAGAATGTCATGAGATGTTTTAACAATATATTTTTTCTTCTCGAGAATTTTGCTATTTTTATTTATCATATCAGCAATATAAAATTCTCCTTTTTTCTGAAAAATTGTCATCATGTTATTCTTTTACAAATTCAAAAGTATAGTATTATATTTTAGATATTACTGATTCGATATATTGTAATTAACATCTTAATAAAAACAACAAATTTTTATAAATATAGTATTATATCGTTCTTTGTTCTTAAAAAATATTGTAAAATAATATTAAAAAATCATCGTGTATATTAAATAAAGCATTAAATTTTATCATCAATAATGGGATTATTTACTATTTTAATTAAAATTAGCAATGTCCGATTTCCCTCCAGGAAATATATAACGTTGTTAAGGTAATTTAAGATTTATTTTTTAAATGCAAGGAAATTACAACAATGATTCAATTTTCACGATTATTTCATTAGTTTGGTAAATATTTTATTCAAAGTTGAAACCGAAAAGAACACCCTCGGAACCGGGAGAAGGCTAGGAACTCAAATCTGAATAGTAACTAGAACAGGTTCTAACAAAATTAAATATTTGTATATTGTTCAAAATGGTTGTTTATTAACAGAGTTTGGAAAATCTGGGTACATTTTTTTAGTCAATGCCAATTTGTATTTTGGCTAGCGATGCTCATCAGATCATTTGAGAAATGGACCAATTTTATGAAGGTATGTTAAACAACAACCAAATTTTATTTAATATGCAATAAGACCCCGTTTAAAAATGTTCAAAGTATCCCGTAGTAACACAATCACTGTAGCTTCAGGATAAAAACCCAAATTTTCCTGGATTCGAACCCAGGTCTATGCAATTGGAGATATATAGCTCAGCTACGATTTTTTTTGTATAAAAAGAACAAATAAACTATGATTAAATATTTTATGAAAAAAAATACACTTGTTTGATAGGGTGAATCATTATATCACTTTTAGATACCGGACAAAATTTAAAATATCGATCAATACAATGAGTAGGCCTATTCAAAAATAATTCGAATATTAGATTCGATTTGAATAATTCGAATATTAGATTCGATTTGAATAATTCGAATATTAGATTCGATTTGAATAATTCGAATATTAGATTCGATTTGAATAATTCGAATATTAGATTCGATTTGAATAATTCGAATCTAATCGAATAATTACGAATACGAATAATAAATTATTTGTTTTATCTGAATACGAATAATAATTTATTCGATTCGAATAAAACGAATTATTCGTAATATTTAATAAATTGTTTAATAAATCTAACATTTATCATTTCTATTTGTTGGCCTGCCAATCTGACAGGTGATGTGTTTGTGTTTATGAAGATTCTAGCACAAATTTAAAAATTTCTGAAGTGAAAATTTAAATTTTTATTTGCCACATTTTTTGAATCTCACGAAAAGTTAATTTTTTGAATCTCATAATAAATTATATTAAAAATTAAGCAAACCAGAGGTATATAAAAATATATTACATCTCTAACAATAATTATTGTTAGCTAACCTAATTATGTTAGAGGAGAATGCTTCTGATGAAATTATGCTTGATGTTGAAGATAAGCAAATTTCCTCACAAAAGAGAGCAATCATATGGGATCAATATCAAATCCTTAAAGAAGGTGAAAAGGCTTCTTGCAATCATTGCAAGAGTAATATAAAATGTAAAGGCAAAACAACCTCTCCTCTTATTAAACACTATAATAGGTTTCATTCACACCTTAGTAAAAAAAATAATAAAATTGACATTTTTTTAAAGTCTACACCAAATTCTTCAAAAAAAAAATTAATTTTAAGGAATTTATTAAAATTATTGATAAATAATAATATACCTTTTAAAATTATTAATTCAAATGATTTTAAAAATTTTATAAGTGATCTTGATTGTTCTGTAAAATCATTATGCTCCAATACTTTTAAATTGCACATGTATAATATATTTGCAGATAAAGAACAGTTGGTAAAGGAAAAATATATAAAAATAAAAGTCAGTTTAATTTTTCATCTGACATTTGGACTAGCAACACAGGTTCCTTTTTTAAGGCTAACAGCCCATTTTATTGATGATAATTTTAAAATAAATAACATAATTTTGGATGTCAGTCCAATAAATGAAACACATTCAGGTGAAAATATATTTAAAGCCTTTGTTAAAATAATTAAAATGTATAATTTAAAGAATAAAAATTTTTATATAACTTAGATAATGCAACTAATAATAAAACAGTTATTGATACATTTTCTTTAAAATATCCATTAATAAAAATAGGGCCCATCCGATGCTTTGCCCATGTAATTAATTTAATATCCAAAGAAATTTTAAAAATTTTAGATCCTTCAATTCTAAAACTAAGAAACATTATTAGAATGATTCGTATGTGGTGGAAGGCAAATGCATATCGGATCCCCATGCTCTCGAAAATGGCAAGGGATTATCTATCTATACAAGGAACATCAACTGCTTGTGAAAGGCTTTTCTCAGTTGGAACTAATTTATTGTCAAAAAACTGCATGTCATATAAGGAAGAAAATAATAAAAAAACTCTTTGCCTTAAAAATTGGCTTAAATTATAAAATAAATTAATAATATACATTTTAATTTTGTTTATAACTTGATTATATATTATTTATTATCAGATTATTGATTACATATTATTATAATTTTTTCTGTTTAAAATCAAATTTGTAATAAAAAAATTTGTCAATATATTTGAGTATGATTTATTTTATTAAAAAAATTAATTCGAATTATTCGAATAATTCGAATCGAATACAAATAGTAGATTTTATTATTCGTACGAATTCAAATTATTTCGATTCGTTAAAATAATGCACTATTCGATTCGAATTCGTTTTTAAATAGGCCTAACAATGAGTATCAACTAGTGTTGTTTAACCACCCGATTTCGATTTTGGCCAGAATGATATTATGTAAGCCTTGAGATTTGGCAAATAGAGGTTTTCTGCGATCTATGAGCAAAATCAGGAAAATAATATTATTTTTGCTGAAATCGTAATCAGGCCGTTTCTAAAAATCGATCCAAATCGTGCTGTTTAACAACAGTATTTTAAATCTAGACCCAAAAGTTGGATATTAATTACTTATTATATTACCTTTTAAATTTGTATCCATTTGAAAAGAGGAAGGAAGTAAAAAAAAATACATCGATTTATTTATCCATCATTTTATAGTATATAATTTTGTTTGTTTACGCGCGTATTGAAAAATCCATTTTGTTTTTACGAGATAATAACAATTTCGAAAAAAGTTATGATTTTTTTATGTAATCCTAAATTAATTAAAAAGCCATAAATTAAGAATTTACAGCAGTTGGCTCAGCTGAGAGCTAATACTGGCCAAAGCTTTTTCGGGGCTATCCTTGAACATCACGAAATACCCCTGCAGTTGAGCCGGTGTCAGATTAATGTCTTTTCCCGTTTCGCCTAAACTTGGTAGACGTAATTTGAGTTGCGTTAAAAAATCCCGAGAAATGTGGTGCTCGCATTCGGGGTAAAATTTGCGGAACATTTCGGTGATTTGATGATCGGAAGCCGGGCCTACATATTGTTTGAAATCTACCCTACCAGGTCTTATAAGTGCTGGGTCCAATCTGAAAGGCAAGGCAGTGTTTTTTTTCAAAAATTTATATAAAATATATGGTTTTAACATTGTATTAAAAAGTTAACTTTACAAAAATTTTGTGTAAATACAAAGAAAAAACCACATTAAAAATGTTCCAATTCTTAACCATTTTATTAATGTCGCTACTTTTGATGGCATTTATTTAAAAACCATCTTTTCTAAATAAAGTACTTATTTTGTCAAGACTTTTTTTTTAAATACGCTTTTATAATTTTTTCCCTTAAAAAAGTTTAATTGTGAATAAACACAAATAAAAACCTGTCATAATAATTAGTCGTCATGAATAAAATTCTAGCTTCCGAGGCGGCTACTCCATCTAACGCGTTTAGAAGGCCCGAGAAGGTTATGCGAGTCAATCCTTCAAATTTCTTTTTTACTTGAGTTGGGTAGGAGTTAAATATTGGTTGATAAAAGAAAATAAATGTTATCTGTTTATATTGTGAAATATCCCTTAAAAATATATAACTAGTTACCAATTATGGTTTTGCCATAATAAAACTTTAATAAAATGTCAAGCTATTACGTAATAGTTTGCATATAACATTTGTCCTAACCCAGCCCAAATATTTATTTTAAGGGCTGAGTCCTGTGGTACCTAATTATTTTAAGCCCGAGCTCAGCTCAAAATTTTTTAATTAAAAAATTTTAAATTACATTTGTGGTGTAGTTAAATGAAGTGAAAAAAAAATCATTAATTGCTTTATTATATATTACAGAGAAATTCTAATTATTTTTATTTAGCCCCGAACCTTGCCCAATTTTTTTAAAAATTTTAGGGACGAATCCAATGCAGGGTTCCATATAAAAAGCTGTAAATCGCTTAAAATATTCTTAATGAAAGTGCCTTTTATAATTAGCAAAAAATAATTTTGGGTAGGGAAACTGCGCGAAATATTATTCGGTCCATAAAATCCGAGCAAAATACAGCATGAAATTTATCTAAAATCTCGAATAATGCAAATTTATGATTATTTCTTCGTAACTAAAATTCCAAGCAGCGTCAAAATATTTCGGATAGGGTGAGGAAACTTGTATCAAAATACTTTTTTCGAGCCGGGCCAAAAATTACATGCCGGGCAGAAAACCCTTCTCAAAAATCTTATCGGGTCGATTCGGAGTATTCTGCTCACTCATATCCTTAAAAAATCTAGATGTTGGTAAAGGTAATACTTATATTTCAAATGAGTTTATAATAAAAATTTCTAAACCGCTAAAAAAAATTATGTACTAACTATCCTCAAAAAAAACATCTAATAGTGTACAAATTATTACATATTTTATACGTTAAAGAAACGCAGTTTTTCATGTTTTTTAACAAAAATAAAATCTACTTCAATTTTAAAATTAAATAGAAAAACACAATGCTAAAGGTCGTGTCAACGTTTGGATTATTTTTGAAAGTTATTTCTGTTTAGATTAGGCTGTTCAGCGCTATGAGATATGACACCCTTTTCTGGTTTGTTTTAAATGGGTATATTAAGAAAATATGAGTTGTTATTCATATATTTATTTTCGGTACAAATAAGATAAAAAATATTGATAAATCAATATAGCCTCTCTTTTTTAGGTTGTTTAGAGGAAGCGATATAGAGGGGGACGACTGTTTAGAAATAATCCGAGCGTTGAAACGGCCTAAACGCTCCTTGTCAACGTATAGGCACCTATAATTTTTTTTACCCGCGGCATTTTCTTCCCTAGAATCGAAAACGGCATCTATGTCCTCTAGCAAAAGGATGGATTGCTCTGGCGCGACACTGAGCAAATGGTTTAACCTGTCATCGGTAAGCCCCCTCTCGCTCAGGTTAAGGATACATATATTGTGATTTATCTCTCCTGCCAGGGCCTGACTAATAGTTTTTTTTTTATATAATACATTTTTAAAATTTTGCTGGTTTAAAAATATATGATAATTTCAAAAAAAATAAAGTAACAATGAAAATTATTTCATCATGTAAGACATTGAATATGCATGCGTATTAGACAAATGCATACAAGACCGTGGTAAGATTTTTAGATGTAAGGGGAGAAAATAAATTAGGCGGTCCTTTAAATCCGTAAATTTACCCAAACCTTAAAATAACAAATAAAAATAAAATCATAAGTGCGCTATTTTTTAAATTGAGAGTCGTGAATAAGAAGCTTAGATAAATTAAGAAATATTTATCATTTGTAATAAATTACTGAATTACGTAATATAATCATTTGTAGATAATTTTTTTTAAAAAAGGCAAAATTTGGCGGCTCCTATAATAGTCTATTGATGAACCAAGGTCAATACCACGCCCGCTTCCTCGTTTGCACAGGAGTGGATATTTGTCAGATAAAGCTTGGTTTTAAAAAAATTTAGAAAGTTTTGTAATAATTATCTAAATATACTACTAGATTGGTGATTCATTCTTTAAAATGTCCATACATAGGAATCAGCTGTAGCGTCATTTCGTGATTTGCATATATGATGATAAATAATGACGTAAACAAAATGCCGCTATAGCTGACTCGTATGCATGAACACTTTTAATTCATGAACCGCTAATCTAATAGAATATATATACCTAATTGGTTGATAAATGGTGGATTATATTTATCTCCAATCAAATATATAAAACTTTTCACGCAATTGTAAATATTTTTTCTTTATTTCAAAAACAGAAAATTACGACGCAAAATATTGATTAAAATATTAATAAACATATATCTGTGCAAGCAATTTTCATTGGTTTTTTTTAAAAAAAAATATATATATATATATTTATATAGGACAAGTTGTCTGGGTTCATAGTGGGATCCGATCCGAAACGATCTAACAGCTGATCGATTTTAAAAATCTGTTTTATGAGGTCAATTTTTCTTTAATAATATTAATATTTAATTCTATTTCACGATAATAATCTAAGAATTCATTGATTTCAAGAAAGATAAATCGATCCCATTAAATTTCAGTTAAATCTAGTCGAATCGGTTACCACTATGAATCCAGTCTAATTCCTTTTTAGACCGATCCAATTGTTAATAATATACATTACGGAGAAAATGTCCTATTATGGGAATCAAATAACAATATAATAAATAATATTATATATTTAATCTCTTGATTTAGCGAAATTATTATGCTCTATCTACATATGATTTGGGTTAAAAAAAACTATGAGAAAATAGAAGTTGAATTTTCAAAGATATATGAAAATTTATTTATCTATGGCAAAATTAAATTAATTATTCTTTTTTTTAAATCTAAAATTTGATTTGCACAGTAGATAATCAAATAATTTATCTATTTTTTTTAAAAAAAAATGTTGAATTTTTCACAAATTTTTAAAAAACAAAATTCGGATCAGAAGTCAGAAATTTTTTTTTCTCGTATCATGTGACCTGGAAAAATAGGTCTGATACAGGGATATTTAACATTCATTATAATTGAACAATTTTATATTTTGGTCAGGGAAGTTTCAGCATCATTGGCATGGTGTTAGGGGGGGGGTCTAGAAGGCTCTAACTTTGGTTGATTATATTTAAAAAAATAAATAGCGTAAGTTGTTTTCGGTTCAAAGTAAAATTGGTGATTAAGTAGGCTTACATAAAACTGCTTTTACCGCAACCCGGTGGTCCATAGAGTAAGTAGCCTCTTCTGTAAGGAATACCTTTAAATGATTATTTATTTTTAATGTTAGATATATATATTGATTACATTAAAAATATATTCAATCTTATACATTCTCCGTTTTTTTTAAACATAATCTATTTGTTTGTGTTCAAATATAAAAAGAAATAGGCTTAGGCGAATGATAAATGCAAGCTTGGGTTAAATTAATAAATATTTTATTTCATTTCTTAAATTGTTCAATTATCACATAATTTTATTGATTATATAGATGATCTTAATATTGTTAAATTTCTTAGTAAACTTAAAAAAACTCATATTTAATTTTTTAATTGAACAAAAATTAAACAAATTTTATAAAATAACTTTGAGAATCCTTTTAATTTTAGAAAATCGCTGGATTATCTGATAATTTTATTGATCATGTAAAATGACCCTAATATTCTTAAAAATTTAGGATTGCCAAAAACCCGATTTGGGTCGATTTTTGCCCGATTAAGATTTTATCCAAAATAATGTCACGTAAGCCTCGAGATTTGGCAAATAGAGATCCAAACTTTCCTGCCATCTATAAGGAAAATCTCCAGACTAATATAATATTACTTTGGCAAAAATTTTAATTGGATGATTTTTAAAATTAAAAAAAATATATCTAATTTTATAATTGAACAAGGACAAGATAGATAAAATAATTTTTTTTTATAAAAAGTTTGAGGATTTTTTTAATTTTAGAAAATTTCTTGATGATCTGATAATTTTATTGGCTATATAAAATCTTGCTATGGAAAGTTACCATATTGTCACATTTAATTTTCTAATTGGACAAAGTAAATAACTAAATTTTTTTTTAAAAAAAAACCTTAAGGATTCTTTAAAAATTACTCAATAGGAAGAGTTTTGCTATTTGGGCGACAGGCTAAACGCAGATGGAGTGTAGATTCTGCTGTTGTTGAAAGGATGGAAGAATTATAGAGAGATGTCATCTAATCTAACAAATAAAAATGTTTCTTGGAATTAAAGAGAAAAGTTTACGTAAGCTGTATGAGGAGTTGTTTAGTTTATGGCGGTGAAACATGGGCAATGAAAGTGGCTCACGAAAAATTGGAAAGAATGGAGATGAGGATGATTAGATGGATGTGTGGGGTATATCAGAGAGAACGAAACTAGCAAGGAATTGCGAGCAAGGATTGAAAAAAGAAGCGATTGTAGAGGTAATTAGAATAAATAGACTAATATGGTTTTGGCATGTGGAACGTAAGACAAAAGATGATTGAGTAAAAAGATACTTGATGGTAGTAGAAAGATCAAGACCTCGAGGAAGGTCGATGATGTGGATAAAGGTGATTGCGGTGGATATGAGAAAAATGAATCTTAAAAATATTGATGCTCAGGACCATCAAAAATAGTGAAGGAAAATCATATGAGAACTGGGTAAACCTGGAAATGACCACTAAACAGAGAAGAATAAGACTCAATATAGCAAAAAAATATAAATCTTGATTTAATGTTGGTATATTTCAGTGGCATTACTAACTTTTTCAACTTCAGCTATTTTATTAAAATTTAAAAAAAGTAATTCGAATATAAATCCTTCTATTTAAAACTAGTAAAAAAAGAAAAGGAAATCCATATCTAAATAAATTCAACAGGAAGTTCTCCAAAGTGATTAGGACATGTTCCCCTATGCACCCTCTTTTAATGAACAAGTATTATATTTTAAAGGTGGACAAATTAAATAAATTAAAATAGGGATATATTAAGTAACATTAATAATAAAATATATTATAATCTTTTTAATAATAATATGTTTTAATTATGAACCAACAAAATTAGTACCAAATGAACTATATATGGATTTTTATCAGCTGAAGATGCCAAGATATATTCACTGCAGACTTAATTTAGATCATTTAAAAAAAAGACTAACTGAAGATTTTATTCAAAAAATAATCCAAGCCTGGGAATATTACTCATATATCAAAAAGGTTTGCACATCTATTTGCAAGATATCAGGTTTAGGTAATATTCTCTTGGTTAAAATATTGATTTTGCTATTTATAAAAATTGGCTAAATCAAATTATTCAACAGCCTTAAATGCAACTTATATAATTTTTAATGGCAAAAAAAAATTATAATATAAATTTGATTATTTGACATAATTAAATTATGTACCTCTTTGATTATACCAAATAGGGTTCTGTATAAACTCCTGAATATCTCCTATAATATTTGCAGCAATTCCTTTATCTAATATAACTGAGTTTATAGGACGTTTCTTCCGTGGAAATCCAAATGGCCTCCAATCAGTTCCTAATGCTGTATAAACAACAGTTTTGCCTTCCATACTTTTCAAAGCTTTCACTTTAGCTTTAAAAAAGTGTAAACTCTATTTATTTCAATCAGTATAAACCTTCTTCCAATAAGTATTTATATAGATTTGGAGTTGTGCCTAGTGTAGTTAAGGTTAATGATTCCCATGGGGTTCCAGTGTTTAAATCAACAACATTTGACTCTCTTGTCCTTTCCATTTTTATCCATGTACCTCGATAACTAGTATTAAGCGTATAAAATTAGCAATAATAAATTGTCTTAATTACTATATATATACAAAAAGAAATGATTGCCTAAGCTGGGGATAAAGTTGAATTCAGAAGACACTTTCCCATTATTAAATTGTTTGAATTGAGTGTCAACGCTAAGATGTTGGGATTTCTTATTTGCTGTAGTTATCCACCTTAAAACCCAATGATAACTTTTATCTTTACTAGGAATTTCTAACGTCATGACATAACGACGTCGAAAATAAATAAAAGCATATTGGCTAGCTAAATAACAATATATTAATAATTCTATAAGTATCTGACCTTTTCTTAATAATGCTAAACCAGTACCCAAACCTACTAAGCCAAACCCTGCGCCAAAATATGGGTTATCTTTTAAGGATGAAATAAAATCAGGAATCATGTTTGAAAAATAGATGGGTGCATCACATATGGTTGCAGGTCAATGTTTAGCGATTTAATCAGCTTGATTTTGCTCAGCTAATGGAATCACCATTAGAAAATATACATAATTTTATAGAAAATAATTTGCTTAACTTTATTTCTTTATCAGTATGAATTTTCTTATATAATGCTTCTTTAGAAGAGTTTATCAAGTATGATAAATTATTCAAAATATCTATTATACCATTGAATTCCGATTTTTTATTACCTTTCCTAAAATTATTTTTAATATCCATCAAGATTTTTTACATAAAATTTTGTTCTGTGTCTTCCAGCTTTTTTTTTACCCTAACATTTAATTGATTATAGACGAAAGGTTAAAAGTAAAATGTACCACGACTTTTCAGATTTTCTTTTTATCTCAAATCAGTCTTCTTTTACCTTATTCCTCACTCTTATATGTCATTTTAAAATTTGTATATAGTTTTTATATTTGTTTTGATTTAAACTGTTATCACATATTATTTTAATATAGTATTATATATTATACAATGATTAAATATATTATTGATATTATATTATTTTTTTAATATATTTTTTTACTATTTAATAAATATAATTTTAAAAATATTTAGATTAAAAAAAATTTACATATAAAACTATATTATATATAAAAATTATATTAAAATTAAATTTAAAACCATATAAAAAAATATTAAAATTTAAAAAAAAACTTTTTTTAATGAAACTGTAAAGGACCAGAATTGCTAATAAAAAAAATATGATCGGTAAATTTCTAATCAATATTCTGGCGCAGATATAAGTATTCTTTGGACCGGCCAGTAATGAAAGCCTTTTTCGTATATATTTAAAAATGCGAGGGCCATGACTAAAATTGTTATGTTGTGGTTACAACCAGGAATGAGGTGAACATTGTATAGGAATGAATATTTATTTTATTTACTGTTCCACCGTGGGAAATTAACTTTTTATGAGTATTTGATTTGGCGAATATCTCTATCCAGGTATAATTTTAAGGAGGAAGACCTCTCTCCCAGGGTATCAGTGTGAGCCCATCGGGTCTTCTTCTGTCTAATATTTAACCCAATATGTTCTAAAGAACATAGGATGTTGGATCTTAAGAGTTTTATAAAATTTGCAGTGAAGCGAGTGGTGGTCATTTTACTGACTGGGTAAAAATAATATTACATACAGAGCGTAAAAAAAATCTTGGGAATATATTTTTTTTAGAGAACAGATTTTTTATTAAATTTGATCTGAAAATCTTTTTTAAGTAAATCTTTTGTAATTTTTAATCATATTTTTTTTAAAAATCAAAAATCCTTTGAAATTATTTTTTCAAATTCAATAAATTTACTAAAAAAATTACCTTGCTGTTATTCCAAATCTGTGTAATATTGAATGTTATGATTTCAAAGTTTTTTTTATGTTAAATTTTAATATAGCAATTTATCATCCCTTATATTTTGGGATGTTCTAGGATTTATTAAATATTTTTATTCATTTTGGCTAATATTTCTGGCCATTGTTTGAAATTAAAAGGAATTGTGGACAGGATGCAATGAAATTAAAATATTCAATAAATGCATCCCAAATCCAAGTAAAGTATCTAACCTTCTTTTTTCTATTGGGTCCAATGTTCTTGAATTTGTAATATATATATATTTATATATTAATTTTTGGTAAATAATAGTGATCCAGATTTTTTCTTGGTAAAATAGGTAAAATAATATATGATATTGGTAAGCGTGGCCGATTAAAAATAAATTAGTAATTTCTTTATTTCATTTTACGATATAATTACACTTCTTATTATATTATATTTTATTTTTCTTTTATACTATGAAATTATGTTATAATAATTTATATATAAAATCTATAATATTATTTTAGGATATAAAATAATAAGAAAATAACAGATCGTTCGATATTTCAAATTTTACATATATGAATGATAAAAGTTTAATATGTTTTTAATTCTATATTTGAATACTACTATAAATTAAAATATAAATTATTTTTGTAAAAATTTTAAATTTATATTGTAAAAATTTTAAATATAAATTTTTCAATTTATTTTGTAAAAATTTTAAATAAAAATTTTAAATTTATTAAGAATTTTAAATTTTAATATAGGTACCCCCATCATGGACAATATTTTCATACTTTAAGCAAGTGCTTCAAAGGTTTGTACTCCCATGTAAATTTATAAAGTAGTTTCTTTATCACCATCCCACTCCTCTTTGTAAGGGACACTGGTATAGGACTAATATAAACTAGTCTCTCTGATATTATGCAAAATATTATGGCCAGCTGAGATTTTTTATTTTGGCCCGGATTTATAAATTCAAAAATTACCTAGTCTCTGTAATATTAAGCTAAATATTATTATAAGTTAAGTAATGATAATGGCCAGCTCTGAATTTTTATTTTGGCCCGGCATAAATTCATATCATTTTTTGACCCGGATCTGCTCTGCACTATTTAATTATATAGAAATGTTTTTTAAAGTCAAATTCCTTCGAGGATTTGAGGTTTTAAATAATAAAACGAAAGTTAAATAAATCTAGTTCACCTTTACACATTTTAATCGACTTTTAGATATTTATTGAAAATCAAATTTTTACTTTTAAAAAAAAATTATTTTTACACAAATTTTAATCATTTTTTTTAAAAATATATTAAAAATTTAAATATCAGTTGGAGATAAGAGGCTTTTCACAATTTACTAACCCTTAAATAGCGCCCTTTTTTGTTTTTATAAGGATAAGCTATTAAATAATATAATTATAAATTCTGTGGCGAAATAGACTGATCCCCTCTATCTGATAAAAATTATTTTACTGAAGTATTTACCTACTTTAAGAATTTAACTGACTGAATACAAAATCAATATAAAACTTGCAAAATTATATTTTTTACTGCCCAATTTTAATTAAATACTGATAAAAGTAATGAAAAATGCTGACCATTTTAATCAAAATACATCCAGAGGTGATTATCAGCAGTGAGTATTATATTTTTCGAATCTAACAATTATTATTTTGCTTATGAATTTTTTTTTAAATTTACAGGAAAGAAATAATTATAGTTATTATAAATGATATATGGAATAATAAATTGTATTATTCAAATGAAACAATTCTAGAACGTATATGTTTTCCAATGGAAGAGAGAAAATTAGGCAAGTCCCTTCTCTCTTCTAAAAAATCATTACATAATTTTTTTTAAATATTTTGTTTCGTTGCATAACTACGATTTTTTTTGGGAGTGTATGTCCCAATACTCCATTGGCAGATTTTTCCCATGTCGACGACTATTTCCATCCTCATTTTTTTGATTAGTTCCCATATCTTAGGTTTTTTGTGGCCTATAATATGCTGAAATCGATTATTCTATAAAAGATACCAACCGATTTATCAATTCACATTTAAAGATTGCCCTTTTGGAATTAAAAAAGAAATACTCTCTACGTTCAGAAAATAGTAATATAATTTTTTAGAAATATTTTCGTTTTTTAGCGGCGGGATTATTTTTTAATAATTTTAAAAAAATTATTCGGAGAATTTTTTCCGGTTTTTTTTTCCGGGTATAAATTTTCCCCCAATTAAATTTAAAATCTAAAAAATGGGGAATTTATTTCCCGGGAAATATTTTCGGGAAATTATTTTCTATGGGAATTTTTTTCCGGGGAATTTTTTTCCAGGGGAATATTTTCCGGGTAATTATTTTCCAAGGATTTTTTTTCCGGAGAATTTTTTTCCGGGGAATTATCTCCCAGGGGATATTTTTTCTAGGGGATTTTTTTTCGGGAATTATTTTCCTGGGGAATTTTTTTCCGGGGAATTATTTTCGGGAATTTTTTTTCCGGTTTTTTTTCTGGGGAATCATTTTCCGCTTACCGTTTATAGTGATAAATTATATATTTGAAAAAGAGTGGGTGGTTTATATTTACGAGAATACTCACATTTTCTAATGGGGGATTTCTTCCCTCACCCTTCATAAATTATCCAATTAACTTTTCAGATAATAGACTATCTCAGTCTCGTCATTAGCGAAGGAGAAATACCGTTCTAATCTATAGATGCGTGTAAAAAATCCTCTCCTTAGTCGGTAGTTTTTTTATAGCATGGGATATCCTTTTCAAAAAATCTCCAGGCTTAGGTTATGGTCTTTGAAAAGCAATAATTCCCTATAATTAATCTGCAAGCCATTTTATATGAAAACCACAAATAATTCCTATAGGGGTTTTCTCTTACAACACTTAAACCAAAAAATGATTTTTTAGCTCTTCTAACTAAATTATATAAACTAAGCGATGTCGCTATACCATCAACTAAAACACTCTTATCCCGGAGCTTCTGGCCCCCTCCCCCGCTAAAACAAAAGATAGGACTTATAGTATAAGTCACTCCACAATCAGTAGCGTCATTATAAGAAACACATTGAAGAGTTCCTATTATTAATTATAAATAAGATACAAGGAGGTAGTCTATGAAATTTTGCCCCGGCCATCTCATAGGCCTTATGTGAGATAACCAACCAAAGAATATTTAACAAGAGTATTACTTTGTATTTATAGTAGGGATTCCAATTATTTAGGGCATAAAGGGAGATATAGGACATGATCATAAAAACCATGGAGGCCATAATAATCATGAAGGCTAGAATAATGAACGAAGGCTTGTATATGATGGCGCTTGGAGAAATAGAAATAACTGATGGAGGTGCATATTATGGCGGGAGATGAGAAAATAATGGCGGGAAAGGAATAATTATAGCTGAAGTAATTAAAATCAAGACAGGATATGGGGGAATCGCATTAAATATTTTTAATTTCTTGATTCAAAATTATTACTTCTTGATTTCTTGCTGCTCCCATTTTATAGATTAAACCTTTTCTCTTTAGTTTCGTCATAAATCATTAATATTTTAGTTTCATTTTGTAGTTTTTGATTTATATTAAAAATGTATATTAATGACTTATTTATTTTTATATAATTTATTTATTTATGCAGGAATGATTTTGTGTGTCATCTCATAATCACTATATATTATTTGGATCCAAATTTATAATAATGATTGGATATTGAATTAAAATAAGCAGAAGTATATGTATAAGTGATTCGTTGTATATCTCGTCAATATTTATACTTTTTAAACGTCGAATTTAATTATTGTTATACACCTATTTTTTTTACAACATTCAATTACACAACACAATCAATTATTTATTCTTGGATTTAGGACATGGTTTAAACGGGTTAATGTTAAATATAACAACATATGGGATACTGAATAAATAAAAATATATATGATAATGATAGCCAATGTTTATTTATATTTAAAAAAAATAGTCATTTTCAAAAAGTGTCTCCTAGTTGGTTAAGTGATTTCATAATCTGGTAGTTTTAAATTCCAACCCAGCAAGAACCATGTTTTTTCTGAAACCAACTAGGTAATCCTTTCCTAAGGGGAATGATGTATAGTATATCGGAATTTAAAAAAATTGGTCGTTGCTTAGCCAATTTCATCGCTGTTTAGTAAATTGCTATGTTTAGACTTTGCGATAACTAACATTAACCGTTTAATTGTGTACATATTTAATTTTATATTTGTTTTACCATAAAATATAAATAGATAAACACGCATTTGTATTATTTTAAATTTTTTGATGTAATTTTAAATAAAAGAATAAAGTATATTGTTAAGTCACCTGACTCGTGAGACCCAGGCAAGGAACTTCATTCTACTAACATTCTAATGTTTCAACTTATGACCGAATTATAAACTATCATCAATTATAATAAAATTATTGTAGAAAAATTAAAATAAAGCTTCTTATATAGAAGTTCAAGAATTGATTTAAGAAAGAGTTTAAAAAAAATATGGTTAGTTAGTTTATAAGAAGAATTATTAATGTACCAATAGTTTGTCGAGAATTTTTTTCATTATTATTAAATTTGTGTTTATTACAAATTTTTAAAAATTATAAGAAAATATTTTTGAAAGTTTCAAAATTATTTTAAGTTTTTTAATATTTTGTTTTTCGTTTTTTTTTAAATAAAAAATAATTTTTTTATTCTATTTTTTTCACATCTTTAGATCTAAATATATAAATAAAATATTAAAATCCCCCCTCCCCCCCTCCCTTCTAATAAAATAGATATTTATAAAAAAAATTTAATAAAAAAAACCATTCATTCAGTTAATGATTATTATAAGGTTTCCTATATAATTAGTTTATACGATTTTTCTTACTTAGATGTAATAAATATATATGGCTTAAGCGAAATATATAAAAAAAAATCATTTTATAAAGATTTGCTAAATACATTATATGTATTGGCTTACTATTGAGTCAAATCGAAAATCTCATTATGACAAATTCTAATGGGATTAACATGTAAATGTATATAATGGGCAAACCATAATGTAATCATGAATTTTCTTTAAATCCAATAATATTTATTTATTCCTCAAAATATATTGTTAAATAAAACTACAAAGAACCCAGTAGCATCGATTCTCCTTCAAAATTTTGAATTTTTTTTTTATATTACTAAAAAAAAAGGTCATTTTAGATAATGTAACTTAAATAAAGATGTAATTTTGAAAATAATTTTAAAAAAATTTTTTGAGCGCCCCTGAGATTGTAAAGGTTAGTAACGCCCCTGAAAAAAACCCCTAAAAAATGCTTCCTTTATTGGGGAGCCATTATGTCATTATTTATAGTCGTGATCTATTCTTTATGGGACATTCATCTTTCAATTGAAAACCTCATCCCGTAAATATATCTTAATAGCGTCTTTCAAAATAATTTTAATCGGTTTTTCGTCCTGCATTGTGATGTTGCCATCGCTGTCAAGAATAATATCATCAAAAAAGTGGCTAAGATGTAAGCTGTCGTGATTAGAGTTTGACGGGAAGAAAATCTTTTGTTAGAGGAACAATATCTTCGGATATCTGTTAATTAAAACAATCAAACAAAAAAAAACATCGATTAGTTTTAAAAGTAAACATGATTAAATTACGAGATGTTATAATACAATTTTAGAAGTTACACAAACCAGACATTTTGGAATAATGTCCCTTCTGGCTTATAGTAAGCACGATGAAGCTTAACCTTGAATCTATAGTGTCCCGATTGCGATCGCGATAAATGCAAAATACAGTAAATATCATATCGCATACATAATAGACTTGAGTGGCGAAAGCTACTCTAAGGGAGACAGTCCGTGTCGCCAAACTATGTTACAGCTAATTTACCGCAGCAATTCGTCTCCAAGCAACGCACAAAATCAACACCACTAGCAATGCTTGATTTTGTATTTTATTCATCGCGATGGAGAGCGATGTGGCGCTACTTTCGTGGTGACTATAAAAGAGACCGAACTCTTTCTCTTCCTTTCCCGTAAAAAAACTAACATTATTTCTGTTTTCTTCTACAAGATTTTAATTTAATTTTATTTATTTATCCTAATTTTTATCGGTTGAACATTGTAATTGTAATCAAATTTAATTTATTATACACACTTTTTTTAGAAAGTCACTATTCTCTTGCCTATACCTAAATAGAATCCAAGGGAGGTGAGTTATTTAGGTGGGGGGGGGGCTTAGCCAATCAAACCATTTGCCCATAATTTGGCCAGGCTCCTCCTATGAGAAATTCTGATCAGGTATTTTTTATTTTACAGTGATTATATTTATACTTTTTTTAAAAAAAATATGTAATAATTTTATATCATCCCTGTTAATTCTTTTTTTATGTGAAAAATTTATTTAAAAAAATTAGATATGTCCATAATATTGTTTATTCAATATATTTTTATCGTTTTTTTCACGCTCTTTTTTTTGAATAGAGGTATAGAAATATAATTTAAGATAAGTACAAGCAAATTTTCGTCTAGATATTAACGTAAAAGATAAAAACTCTTCTTTTTACCTAAACATATTTCCCATGGGTATGCACTGGTAGTAAGTAAATAAAAATTTCTAAAATTGATATCAAGATTCAAGATAGAACGTAAAATTTAGAAGCACTTAGCGTATTTAAGAAGGGCCAATTCACAATAAATTTTTTTATAAAAAATTAAATGTCCATAATATTGTTTAATCATAGGATTTTTTTACACACCTTTTATAAATAGAAAAATATCATTTAGTCAATATAAAAGTATATTATATAAACACAAAATTTTACCCAAATCATATTTTCCATGCAATGATACATAAAAAAGTTATAAGCAAAATAAAAAAAATTTCTGAAATTAGTATCAAAATTCAAAAATAGTCAATAAAAAAAATATAGAAGTATACTATAGTACTTATAATAAAATAAAATAAGCGAAATATATATAAAATTATTATCATCATTATAGAAAAAAAAAATCAACTTTTCATCGTAGTTTAAAAATCTGTGTTTATGTCTCTGTGTTTACAACTTTGATAATATTATTATTTAGTAGCGGTAGCACAAAATTAGTCAAATAGACTGGAATATTTGTAAAATGTAATACCACCAAGATAAGATAGATTAGCTAGGGTGAAATTGAAGACGATTTACAATAGATATCTTTTTTACCCTCAAGAGTTGAGGTTGAGCGACTATTTAATAAAGTAATAGGAAATGGGAATACTAAGTGCACTTTTACACTTGGAAATATTAAAAAAAAGTAAATGTCGATCACATACAAATTAAGCGTCGTCCCTCCCGTTCAAATTTTTATTTTAAGTATACGAAAATTTTAATTTTGAAAATTAAAAGTGCTTTTAATAATTGCTTATTAGTAACAATTATTTATAAATAAGAGAAAAAATTTCTGAGATGATTTCAGAGAAATAAAAAAAAAATCAAGGGAATGGGGTTTTATCAATTTAAAAAAAAAAAATTGGCAAGTAGTGGCCCAAACCTTTCTGCCATCTATGAACAAAATCACTATACACAATATTATTTTGGTTATAATCCTAATATAGCCGTTTTTAAAAAATCTACCAGAATGAGGCATTTTAACAAGCTATTGTCTACATACGCCACTGGTGGACAACAATAAATTATAAATAATAATTAAAGCAATCATTCGATATTCTTAATGCCCCGTTTATAAGTAAACCGCGAAATATCGAGATGTCCCATGCTAAACGATAGCATAGCTGTATAATTTAACAGTACGTATTTTGTAAATTACAACCTAGTTTGAACGACTTGGCGTTATTCTTACAAGAAATTAATAATCGCCCAATTTTTATTCGAACTAAAAAAACATTTAGGGCGAAAAGGGATTTGTTTCAAAATAAAAATGATTTTTTTTCCTGTAAAACTTTGCTAAAATCAAACAATTTTAATTGATTGCTATCACTTAAAATAATGAGTTTTTTTTTAAAATTCTTATAAAAAATAAACCTTTATTATAACTAAACGGGCCTGTTAACTTCTTCGGTTTGCCGAATCTTTTAATATCATAATTTGATTCCTCGTGAATACATGTGATCCTATCTTCACCAAACGCCATTGTTTTAGATGTCTGATTGAAGGCGATAGATATACCTCTTAGCGCTACTGAACCAATGATAAAATCTATAAAAGTAAAAAGAAAGAAAAGAAATTAAAGCCGTCTCCATGTTAATCATATTTCTAAATAGTAGTCTGTTTAACCGTTTATATAGCTTCCTCTAAACAACTCAAAAAAAGAGGTGATTTAGATTTATGTTAAATGGTAAAGATTATATTTCCTCCGAAAATAGAAAATCAAAATGAAAATATAATGTTTAATTGTACTAAAAACTATATAAATAACAAATAATATTTATTTAATGTCTACGCACTTATAAAACAAACCAAAATAGGGTGTCCTGGTTCAGCAAGCTGTTTACCCTGGTCTAAACAGAAATATGTAAAAATTAGACGAACCAGGGCACGATCTTATATGAAGTGAATTAATCTTTTCAAATTGAAATATTTATAAATTCAAATTTTTTAAAAAAATCCTTATTTTTTACTATCGGAGCTAGATTCTGATATCGCCATTTTATAGCATTGAGTCTTTGCCAACTTCGAAGTCGGTAGAGTTGGATAGAAATGCGAATGCACCATATATCTTAATTCTTCGTTAAGGTCAAGATCTACGGTGATCAAATAATTCCAAGGCCAAACTTTGAGGTTAAAGGTTGAGTTATCAATAGTTGAGATTATTTCGAATACCAACTCCGGGAAATTTTTGCGGAAATTATCTCTTCCACGGTCGAAATCTAAATCTCCTGCAGGGGAAAAGTTGTGACAAATAATTTGGCATCGTGTTTTCATCGCGGCGTTGTGCACGTCAATTTGTAAGAGTTTATACTAATTTTAAAACATTTAATAATAGTATGATCTTGATCAAGACGGTAATTGATCACAACTTGATCACGTGATACTTGATTGCGCTTTATATATATATATCCTAATCACTACATGATCACGTGATACATGATCGAGGGATATTTATCCTGATCACGTGATACAAAATTATCAATTTAAAATATTGTTTTAGAAAATGTGTGGGGAGGCAAGTATAAGGTGTAAGGCTAATTTTAAGTTTAATAGGAGTATTATTTTTTATTAGAGGGCCATTCTCTCCTCGGGATTATCGCGTTCTTCCCACCCCTTTCCAAGGCGTTCAAAGACTAAAATTAATTAAGAAATGTCATGTGATCAAGTTACCCGTGATCAATTGACACTGAATAAAAAAAATATTTTATGATTTCTATAATATCTGTGGATGGATCCATTATCTAGTCACCTGTTTAATTAATTTATGATAATATGCAGTGATTTTTTGTTAAAAAAATTAAATAATTAGGCTTCAGGAATGATATACCATAATTATATCAATTAAAAAAAATAAGCTATTGAAATAAACCTTCAAAAGTTTTTGCAATTATATTAAAGCTGGATTATGATGATAGGTGTGTATATAGAAAGAAAGAAAGAAAGAAAGAAAGAAAGAAAGAAAGAAAGAAAGAAAGAAAGAAAGAAAGAAAGAAAGAAAGAAAGAAAGAAAGAAAGAAAGAAAGAAAGAAAGAAAGAAAGAAAGAAAGAAAGAAAGAAAGAAAGAAAGAAAGAAAGAAAGAAAGAAAGAAAGAAAGAAAGAAAGAAAGAAAGAAAGAAAGAAAGAAAGAAAGAAGATGAATAATAACAAATAAATAAATATTTTTTAAATTTCTTCAATTTTAAATCATTTACGAGAGCGATTTTTAACTTTGAAAAATCTTTTTTTACCGGAAATGTATATCAGAATGTGTAGAATACCCCTTATGAATTTCAAACAATTTTGCCTCGAACATTTAAAGTTTGAATTACTCAGAATTTATATCAGAACCATGCACAGGTCAAAATTTTAGGATCGGCCATAGTAACTTTTTTAAAATATTTTTGACCTGTTAAAGACCCACGGAATTTTTTAAAATTTCGTTATTTTGAAAGCTTTTGCCTGTATTTTGTGAATTTCTTCAAATAGGAATTTAAATATGGACAGTAAATGTACTTTTTTTCTTTACGCTCCATTATAGATTTTCCAAAGGATTAGTTGGGAAAATAATATTAAGATCAGACCCGAGTTTCAAGAAAATTTTTATTGGCCTTAGCCTGTCCAATTTATCCACAGATTTTTCAAATATATATACATATATATAAATAATAGAAAAATAATTTTTATTCGCCGTAATATGAAAAAAGGCAAAAGGTCAATATTTTTAAAAATGAAAAATTATCAAAATTGTTTTAAATATTTTTACCCCCTTGCGGAATTATTCCATGGGTACTTCTGCACTTAGAAATTTTCTAACCTTTCTAGGTAAGCTAGAAAGGTGTGATCAAGTTCTCTATAGTAATTATAATTTTTTAAAAATCGATATAAGTTTAATAATATATTTTTTCCTTCTTCTAGGCTATAACAACCGGATTAGAATTCACATTTTTTTGGAAATGAAGAGACGCAAGTGGATTCCTAAATTTAGGATTTACCTAAAGATCAAAGTAAAGATTTAGACTCAAAAAATTAAAATTTAAGAAAATACACAGAACTTTATTTTTTTTCCCACCATTATATTTGTATCTGCTAATAGCAGTCTCTTCATTCTACGAAAAAACAATTAATGATATATATGAAAAATAAAATACATATTTCGATCAAATATCGAGTCTTTAACTCTTGTAAAAAAGATAGTGGAATTTTCAAGCCCACTAGTGTTGTTAAAAAGTCCGATTCGGGTCGATTTAATAAAACGGTCCTATTAAGAATATAACCAAAATAACATTATGTAAGCCTAAAGATTTTGCACATAGCTGGCTGGCAGGAATGCTTGGACATCTATTTGCCAAATCTCGATGCTTATTTATTATTATTTTTTAAAATCTTAATCGGTCCGTTTTAAAAAACCAAATCGAGCTTTTTAACAACACTACAGACCACTTACCACTAGGTCTTTTCTACGTTTAGGTTTATTCCATATGGTCTTTTTTTAAAATTTAACCAGTCAGATATTATTATTTATTGAACCAGTGACGAGAATAAATGGACTTATCGCGCATATAATAGTGAGAAGGGGAGGGGATTATATTTTCACAAAAACAAAAAAAATACCTTTTTTATGTATTCATCTTGCATATACTTCTTAAATTTTTGAAATATGGCGATGGGCATCTTGATATCTGTGGTGCCGGTGTCTATTAATATATCGTACAGATTTAGGAATTGACAATCTTCCATGAACGGGATTTCATTCAGGTGTATTCCATACAACAAAATATTGTAAAACCATTTGTTACTCATCTCAGCGTCAAAGTTGGTAGAAATGTTACAGTTCGAGATTTGGGTGTGCGGGGTTATAAGCTTTAAGGATATATATAATATAATAATTTTTTTATTGGGTTAGAAAGTAAAAATACAAATTTTATACCATTTTTCCGGTTACATGATGGCTTCCAGGTTGTTCATTCAGAACCGATTCAAAAATGTTTATCACGAAATTTGGTCTTATGAACTGGCCCCAAAATATCATCAACGATTCCAAGAAAGAGCGAGTATTAATGGTATCCGGCTATAAATTTAAGAGATCTCGATGTAAAACTTTATTATAAAATATCTTTTAGTATAATAAATATCCCCAAATATTTAATGTTTCTATAAATGAATAACCCTCCCCACCACGCATACAAAAACGGAATTTTTATACCCCCCTCCCCATAATTTGAGGCTTCTTGAGGTCCTTGAAAACTCCTAAATATTTGTTGTACAGAAGGGGGTGGGGTGTTAAATTCATTGGTTTCAGGTCCATTCAGCGAAAAAAAATCTAAGTGACACCTTACTTTAAAACTTTTATGACGAATGTAAATTTTATAGTGAAACCTTTGTCGGGTCACATTCGCGAATACTATTCCGCAATGACTATATCGCGAATCAAATACCACAAACTTTTTAGAGCGGTTACATAACGTAAAAAAACTTTTATCGCCAATCAATTATCAAAAAAACTTTATGGCGAGGTCATTATCGAGAGGCATAAATTGTAAAAGACAAATTCTATATTCATTCCACTCCTCCTCGTTTTTTGCTTTTGAAAGATTTCATAGATATTTTGGAAAATTTTTAAATCTTTCCTGGAAAATTATTTAAAGCTAAATTCCTGGACTCTAAACTCTGCAATTTTCCTCTTTTTTATCTACCTGTTTAACAAATAATTCTCTGAAATATCTAGTTTCATATGTTCCAACGATAACTCACTAGATCAAGCTCTTACAATGTGGTAAGACAGTCTCTCTCCTGATACATTTTCAATAGTGATATCGAAAATATATTTTCACCCCTAATATCAAAAAAATTTGCAAATTTATTCCTCTTCATCTCTGGAAGTCTAACTCTTTCTAAACGATGATAAAATTGGAGGCCACGAATGGATGGAAGCCATGCTGATAAAAAACTAGGAGAAAACCAATAAGAGTGATCTTAGGATATAGACTCGTGCGACTTAGTTCTGCCTCATTATTGCACCACGAACTTCAACCTCCTAGTAAATGTCAAGGAAAGACATAGCCACATTGCATTAAGAGTCAAGGTCGACGTCACTCTTCGATAAAAAAAAATAAACCTCCTTTTAAAAAAGGCTCTCATACCTAATATTCTAGAAACTCGCTTTCGAAAGATAACGGCCTTCGACTCGACGGCCTGATCACTATCCCCTGGACCATAGGCAAATCCCTTATTCGGGATTATACATGTGTCCCATCCTTCCACATCAATATAAATAGCAACCTGGTAAGTAGTTAATTATTGTATAAACTATTGTTGTTAAACGGCTAGATTTTTTTTTAAAACGGCTAACCCAATATTTACCCAAATAATATTAGGCAAGCCTGGAGATTTTGCTCATAGATGGAAGAGAGGTTTGGACATCTATTAGCCAAATATCGAGGTTTGCGTTATGATACTTTGGCTAAAATATTAAATTAAAATTGATTAAATCGAGCCGATTAATTTTTAACTAGCTTATTATTCGCATTTAATTTTTAAAAAGTTTGTGTTTCTGATAACGAAATAACTTTTCTATAATATAATTTATCTTTTTATTAGCTTCACCATAACCCTGCATTCATAATTAGAGCAAATTTGCGACGAACTGTACAAATTGGCAACTGTGAAGTGCAGGGCAACCTCAAAAAAAAAATTAACGGTGATTTGTTGTAGCTGTTGAAAAAAAAAATAAATAAATTTAATATAATACATCAAATGTCAGTTATTTTCTGACAGGAAAATTAGTTTTCCTGGTGGATGGGAGAAAAACGAAATCATCACATGGGTTGTTGTTAGAAAAGAACATTCCTTGTTTAGATTTGGAGTAGAGATATTGGATGAAGACGGGATTGATTGGGGAAGATTTAATATGTTTATATGTTATATATACATGAATAAAGTGGAATTGCAGTAATGTTTATTATATTTACTTAATATTATTAAAGGGATTATTTTGGATTGATAAGTTATATTTTTGTGAGAGTAAAGGGTTGAGAGTAAAGGGCATTTTTTTAATTTTTTTTTCAATAGATTCATTTCTCCATAAGGCAGTATTAAACAACTTGTTTTAATGATATTTTATTACCTAGATTAGATTATTATTTTAAACTTGATGAAAGGGCTAATACTTCAAATAGAAAACATTGTTTTCTTCTACCGGTTGGGTCTAATTAAATTTGCAAACAAAGATAAGGGCTCTATAATAGCGAAGGAAGGATAAATTTGCATTGTAACGAATAAATATATATTTGATTATTGGATATTTATGTTCTATTATTGATTTCAAATGACGGATCGTTAAGTTATAGGATTATTTTATTTCAACATTTATTAAAACAATTTTTAGATCTAAAAGTGAAAATAAAAAAAGATAATTATTTCTCATGTTAACCTGTAAACTAATGTATAATAATATTTATAATTTAATAGAGTAAAAATCAAATTATACTAAATAATATTAAATTCCCTACTATCGTATCTTCCTCTACTAAAATAATAACTTTTTCAATGGCTGCCATGATTTAAGAAAATGGAAAACGAAATCATTAAATCCCACAACAAAGCGATTTGAAATTGAACAATCAATCCTATTCATTTTCTACTAGATTCCTTGTTTCCCGTTGTTAACCAATACAATCAGACATTCCATTTTAAACATTTAATACATTTCTATTTGCAAAAATGCTAAAAGTAACGAGAAAATAAATGTCACACAAACAATTAAGCGATAATAGAAAGTCGTTGTTACATCTTCAAAAAGGGAGAATTACAAGAGCGTTGCGTTAGATTAGCGATTCCCGTATTTTTAACATATTGCCTAACCCTTATTACAATCATCATGTAAATTTAGAGTGACTAATTTTGTAATATTTGTTTAAAAAATTTTATTACCAGTGGTGATAAATTTAACAAGGTTAAAAATTGGATTCATAATGTCCCCTCCGTCCTTAAAACCATGAGTGAGAAAGGCCGTGAATAAATTACTAAGTTATTTTTTTATCGCCTCAGAAAGAAGTTTCATTTAAGCCATCTCTTACTTAATAGCAGAGACTTGTAATTTTAAATATAATTTTTGGCCCGGCTCTGGTATATTAAGAAATTTAAAATAAAGCCCGCCGGGGTACCAGAGCGGAATTAGAGCCGAGCCTGCAGGTCTCTGCTTAATAGTCAGTAAATAAAGAAATACCTTTAAAAAATTTCGCATTTATGATTTAAAAACTTAGTGGGTAAATTATTATTGGATATACCACTATTCGGACAATGTTATTTGCAGTAATACTCTTGTGATAATGACTTAGTTCATATATATTCGCAATAAAATGTTCTCTATTATGGGAGGGCGATAAAAGTTTTGCCGCAAAATATTAGCGAAATTTGCGAAAAAATATTCGACATTGGTTGGGATTTCGCGGAAATAAATTTGAGTTAATAGATTCACAATATTGCCTTCGCTTTAAAAAATGATTTGAGGTATTGATGTTGCTACACTACCTTCGCTCTAAAATTCCTTTGCGATAAACGACATATTAATAGTTAAAAAAAGAGCTCACGAAAAATTGTATCACGATAAAGATGTTACAGAATTGACCATATATATGGAATGAATTTATTGGTAAGTGAATAGCTTATTAATATATATATATATATATTAAATCTAACCCATGGTTCTAGGCCTTTTTAATCCTAATCCTGTTAATGTTATGTGAGAGTGGTATAGATATTTAAAAAGATATTGAAACAAAATTTCTTTATTATAAAATATAACTAACCAAATTATCAACCTAATAAATTATGTATATATACATATATACTTTTCAAAAGTAAATAACAATCAATGTAACTATTAGGATAATATTATACTGGGTATCTTTAGCTTCACCTGAAGCTGTTTTACCCACAATCTTAACACACTAATCTATTTCGAACCTTTAATTAAAAATTTTTTTTAAAATAATCTCATCAAACCCCTTCAACTATTACAGAATGCTGACTGTACTAGTGGTTATGAATGGTTGGAAGCATTACCAAGTCGTAACCTAGGTAACCTCTTATCAGACGAACAACTAAGAGTTGCCATATGCCATCGACTTGGATGTAATATTGTTCAATCACATACATGCATCAAATGTAAAATATGAGTTGACTCCAAAGAGAGACTTGATCTAAGTTGTATATATAGTCAAGGCAGGCATGCAATGCATGCAGCAATTAATTTAGCTATTAGCCGTTCTCTTACCAGGGCCCGAATACCAAACATCCTGGGGCTTACAAATTTATCATTAGATGATGGCTTAAGACCAGATGGCTTAACTTCCGTGCCTTGGTCTTTAGGGAAATCCTTAATTTGGGACTTCACATGCGTAACTTCTTTCCCAAAAAATTTAAATTCTAATCCGGTTGATATAGCCGAGAAAAAAAAACAATGAAATATTCCAAATTCACATTATATTTTTACACCGATCGTTATCTCTCCCCTTGGACATATGTGTAAATTTCTTAAAAAATATAGGCGATAAGATTAGAGCCCTTACATCAGAACCAAAAGAATACTATTTTTTAAAACTAAACCTACAAATAACTATTTTAAAATATAACTATTCATGTTTTTTGGGAACTTGTAGTCCCACCTCCGTTTTTATAAAATAATGTTTTATTTTATTTTATATTGATATATTGTTATCTATGTTTGTATTTTGTACTTATAAAATAAATTGCATTCAATAAAAAAAAATATTAAGTGAAAGAAATAATACAATAAGTCCTTAAAGTAAAATTTAAGTTAACGTAATTCAAATATATTAACAAATCCTAATCTTGGCTTTAAAAAAATATTTGTCCTTGTCGGAGATCCAATAAAAGAAAGAAAAAAAATTATACCAAAAAATTAAAATTTAATAGAATAATAGTAGAAAACCTGTACTACGTCTCTTTTGGCCAATCCTATAATTCCGCTCCAGTTTAAATTTGGTTGGAATAGATTAATAGATTTTGTCATGCAAGCGAACTGCAGTTCGAACTTCATAAATTGTTTGTGTTGTTTTTTTTTAATAATAAATTTCAAACAGATTTTACAATTTTTATGAAATAAATGTATATAAAAGAAATCGGAAAGAAAGAATAAAGAGGGCAAGAAACAAAATAAAGAAAAATTAAATTAGTAATAAAAATAGAATATACGTTCGTGAAAGAAAAATCGCAATTTTCCATTATTCAAGGTTTAAAAGAAATATAAATATACGAATCTCTGGAACAAGGTCCTAGAGTTCTCCACCACCCAATGTTAACATGTGTCAAATAGAACAAAAAAAATGTTCTAAACAGTTTAAAAAATATAATAAAAAATAATTCATTATGGAAATCAGAAATTATTTAAAGAAAGATATTGATCTACTTCTTTTTTTTTTAAAAAAAAATTAAATTTTGTGATCAAAAAAAGAATTTAAAATTTTGAGCAAAAAAAAAAATCTTTGAGGGTGTGTTCTGGTTTGACTCATTACTAAACCGCTGGTGTTTGACTGGCTATATAGTTTGGACAAAACAGCCTAAAATGTAAAAGAAAAAAAACGGACAAAAACGAAAAAAATAAAAAAATAAAAACAAAAAGAATATAAAAGAATATAAAAGCGAGCGAAAAATTAAAGCAAACCCTAGATAGGGTATTCTACATCAAAAGCTGTTTAGCCTAGACCATAAAAAACTAAGTCAAAAATAAATCGAACCAGGACAAGGACTCGAGATTTTTTTTTCTTCAAACTATGGTTAAAAACTTGATAAGTGTTATTGTAGATGTCTCTAAAGGTCACCATATCGTGGGCCAGATATCCCATCCAAATTCCTTGGCTATACGTTACGTACGCGATCAAATATTCGGAAAGAAATGTTGAAGAACTTGGGAAAATATATTTTTGTTTGTAAATATTTTTTTTTTTGCTAATAAATGAGTTTGAGGTTTAAAAGAATAACCTTTTGCTTGTAACGAAACATATCCATTGACACCCTTGGGTGTCAGATGAGGAGAATAACGTGAGTAGTTGAGCGGGACAGAGAACTACTCCCCTTCCCCCCTTCAATTTCGTTATAAAAAGTTTGAGGATTTCAAATAATTATGCGATTTTTTTAAATACAGATTAGATTTGTTTAAAATAAACAAAATTGTTTTAAAATATATATAAATTATTTTGTTACATATTTTTTTTTAACTATGAAAATTTATTTTAAACTTGCAAATAAAATCAAAATTTTATGTTAATTAATTGATATTTAAATATTGGTTTAGTTATGTGTTTTTCAAATTTTGAAAAGAAATTGTAAGAATCAAAATGCGCATTTTTGCCTCAAAGAATGTTTGTATCTTAAAAATCGTTCAAATGAAATTAAAGATCCATAAAATTTTACAGAAACGCAGTTTAACCTAAAATAGGAGGCTATCGAGAATACCAGGTTAAAATGTCTATAGGTTATTTTAGTTACAATTTAAAAATCGGTGGGGTTTCGCTATGCCTCACAGTTTATCACTTAAAGGATTTTTTTTTAAAGTTCCATAGGTTTGGTATGCTCCTTCAAAACAAAAACTCCAAATTTTTTGTTTTTTCTTGGAAATTTAATTTATTCCTGTTTTGAGCCCTAGAAATCTAAATTAGATTCAATTCAAAATCTCTTGAAAAAAGGATGTGTAATTCAAAATTCTGTCTGAGAGCCGAAAGCCGGGTTCACCTTTAAAATAAAAATCCGTCAAACCGAGTCTTGATAAATGTCCATTCCATTTCGACTAAACCCGATTTTTTTCTCTGACTCGGATTTGATTTGGACAGTTATATTTAGAAAAATTATATGAAAGATGGCAAAGTATCGGATTGACGTTAGAACCAAATTGGAATATAGGATATTAGGAATTTCCTCTATTTACCAGTAGCGACACTGGGAGGGGGGGCTCGAGCTCTCTTGAAAAATTTTAAAGAGGAGGGTAATTTTAAGTTGTGCCCCGTGAGATTGGAAATAGCTAATGGACATGACTGCCATTCGCTAGTAGGCATAATGTTTATTGAATTATTTTTTTCATCAAAATACCACCCCTATTTTTCTCTATGAACTAACCAAGTTTATGTCCTAAAAAAAATTTATCCCTATCTTCAAGTTGAGATTCAACTTAAAGGTTTAAGTCAATTTATTTGGCTAAAAGCTTTGGTTAATTCCTCTTTTCGAGTTGACCAAAGTTAGGTAATTTAACAACAATACCATCCCCCCCCCCACCCCTCCCTCCCTCCTATCCTGCAACTAAATAAAACCCGATAATATGAAAAGTGATCAAAAATTAAGTTTTTACTTATCAGGACTAAAATGGTTCAAAGCGTTGGCTTCGGGATAACAGGCCACAGCGATATTGTTACTTGCGGTATCTATAAGAAAATTCATCTATTTTGTTATTATTTTTTTTTATAAAAAAATAATTGTTTTTGATAAATTTATGTATTTTTATTTGTTTTTAAATAAAATCGAAATTCGGAAAGTCCTAATATTTAAGCCAATAGGAGATTAACCCCCCTAACTATGGCATTGCCTAGGTTGATACTTTAATATGGGAAGAGAGGGTCTAAATTTTATAGAGCTCCTTAAGGGAGTAGAGTAGAGGGCGAGAATCAAGATAAAAGGGAATTCGAGACTCAAGGAAGTTAGATTCAACCCTAAAAATTTCAAATATTTTATTAATTTAATGCTCCTAATTCCGTATTTCGTATTCACAATTAAAATATCCCCATTCCGTTCCATGTCATCTGGCATAAAATTTTGTTTTGTAAGTTTGAAATGATGTATAAACACACTAAAATTTAAAATGATATTTGACATTCTTTGTAGTTTTTATTAATATTTTACGAGTTTGAAATGATGAAAAATCCAAACTTCTATACCCTTTCTCACACTGGGAAATACTATTATATATCAATAAATACCTACAACTATATACTTTGGACGCTATCACAATTTATTAATACATTCTCAAAATTTTAATTTTTATATAAGTGTTGATTTTGCCTAATAAGTAACGAGCCCCAAATGTAGGGTTCGTCTATCTTATGGGGGCCCCTAAGCCATTGAATTAATGCTGGTATTCATTTCTAAAAATTATATATTCATATAAATATTTTATATTTTAAATTATAACTATTATATACTGTTGTAATATTCAGTTAACCAAGAAATGTCTTATTCATTGTTTCAGATGTACTTTTAAACAAAAAAGAAATGGCTTATTCAAATAATTTCAAGATAATTTAATTTAACAGACTATGTAAATGATTATTTAAGAAAAGATATATAATTGAAAGTTTATGAATAATAGACGATTTTCTAATTTTTGGGAAAGTATTTTATTTTGGATGTATTTTTGTTTTAAACCTTTTCTTTTAATCTCTCTTTTTCTTTTAATTATTTTATTTTAATTTAATTCAATTTAATTATTTTATTTTAATTTAATTTAATTTTATAATGTTTTACCGTATAATTTATCATGGTATAATTAATAGTTATTATGAATAAAGGAAACTTTAAATTATGTTTAATGTTTCAAATTTTATATATTTATTATTTATTATTTAATCTTATTTCTTTGTTTATTTAGAAAGACAAAACCTCGCAATTTAACATATAAAATAAAATTTAGCCAAAAATATATATAAAAATTAAAACAATAAATATTTAGGACAAATAAAATACTTAATTCTTTGCATTGCTGTTTTTTTTTATAATATCTCATTAAATTTAATGTAAGTAATCAACAAAATAACCATAGATAATATATAAATTTAAAATTATATTTTATAACGATCTACTATTATTGGTTCAAAGTAACCTGGCTTAGCAAGCCCCACACAGCCATTAGTTTCACTAATCATTATCAAAATAATATAATGACCATACAAACTCTTAACTTTCTCAAATTATAAAAGATTATTGCTCTAAAAGTAAAAATTGTACATTAATATTGATTAAATTTAATATAAATTTTTATAATTTTTTTTTAAAATTATAAATAATCAGGGCCGAAGAAAATTTTTGAAAAAAAATCCGGGCCGGACCGTGCAAAATGGTACCTTTGCAGGTATCTGATATATATTATACATTTGATGAAAATCGGTTTATAAACAAATAAAATATGGCACAACTATTTTTTAGCTGGGTTCCTAAGAAGAAGTCATAATTGTATGTGAAGGTTTCTATCTGTATTTTTTGACGAATATAAACGAGAAATTCTGTCGGTTCATTTGAAAACGCCTTGATTTTTATTGATTAGAAGTTTTATAAATTTATAAATTTTCGAAGAAAATGTCCATTTCTAGATAGAACAATAGGATTGAGCATGCAGTTAGTAAGTTTTAAATATATTTTTTTATCATTGGAACAAATTTTTATCTGATAGGAATGAGGTAACAAGTGAAATTCCAAACAAGAGGTTTACCTGACTCTCAAGGGATTTTGATCACTCCATCAGGTTTTCCACACTGTCCTCTATCCAAATTACATCAAAATTTTATATCTTCATAAATAATTTAATAGTCAATTATTTTTATTTCAAAATACTTTTTATTTAAAAAAAATGTGGGAATAAAATTGTTTAACATGTCCCCCGGTCTGACTATCCCCGTCTCATCTACTTTACAAGATAAAATGTTATATATATAAAAAAAATGATTATATATTGTATTATAATTTGAAAATATAAGATGGGATGGAAATAAAAATGGTATCTAAAAAGATTATTAATTATTAAATAAAGACAATTAATTATCGCTAATTTCTAGTTAATCTTACATTAAATTCCAACAAAAAAATATATAGTTGATTAAAAAAAAATGATAAAAATTTTTTTAAACTATTTTCATAGGAAGCGATTTTTTTTTGAAAAACAAAAATTTCACGAGGAGTGCACAAATAATGCTGCATACGTTATGAAAATCTCGTTCATATTTATATAAATATTACGTATCGTGTTTTCTATAATATCCAATTTCTAGTAGTATGTGTATTCAAATAAGCATATTACGTAATAGAGTTTTTCTTGGAAAAAATACATAGTTAAATATCCATTAAAAAGAAAACACTTTGAAAAAGTAGGGGAATACTTTATCCTATAATATTTCATTCCTACTTTTCTTCTTTTTTTTTTATATTGCCTTAGTCGTCTATAAAGATTAAATGATCGAAATTATGATGAAGTCAGCCACATTGATAGTGATTGATAATATTTTTTAAAATTTTTAAAAATAATTTTTATAGGCTATGACTAGAAGATAAACAACGATCAAATTTTTATCAAACCATTTTTTAAATATTAAATTATTGTATATTAAACCATACCGAACTAACTTTTAACCTTTCCCTTACCTCATGCAAGAGGGTGACTTTAGAAGAAGAAAAACTGGTTGTGCCTCATTCCAGATCTACTCAGCCCATATCTCTAACCCTCTAAGTCACAGGTGCCATTCAAAAATATACTTTAAATAGAGGCTAGATAGCTTTGAGGCGTAGATTTTTGATAAGCATCAATTTGTCTATAACCTTTATTTTTCCTTTTTTTTTGTTCTTCTAAAACTTTATTTTTCATAGCGAATATCGAAATGCTGCAACTCTTTACTTTATTTAGTTCGGATAACCCCATCCCCTGTCATTCTTTTTTGCGAATTAAAAATGAAGAAATTTTCAAAGTGTTTATTTATATACTGTTATTATTTGACAACATTTTTTGTTTTATTATAAAAGAATTCAAGGTCAAATGTTCTGAAACGATAAATAAGTTCCCCTTATCATGCATAATTCAATTCATCATATTTTTTAACATTCAGTTTTATTATCATTTTCCTTTTTGAAACAAACTTTTTATTCTCAATAAAAAATATACATAAATTAAAAGGAAGTTTTGTTTTTTATAAATGTTAAATAAGTCAAATAAATATATATTTATTTTTTATTAAAAAAAGGGCAGAAAAAAAAATTTTCTTAAGAAGAAGGAAATAGAGGGAAGAAAAGGAAAAAGAAGGAAAAAGTAGAAAGAAAAGAAAAAGAAGGAGAATGAAAAGAAAAAGAAAAAGAAAGGAAAAAAAAAATAAGATTGAAGATAGAATAAATCACTTTCTGTGGGGGAGTTCCTATTTCAAGGACGGTGTAAAATCCATTTTCTGGATCCCCGTATAAATCGAATTGAAGCGTCGAAAATATTTCATTTATTTCTCGTTTGCGAGAAATATTTGTCGCCCCGTGATCCGTCTTGTTAATAAAGTCGATTTTATCATTCGATAAATTTTTGCGCGCAGCGTTAATAATAAATTTATTTAGAGTTGAATCGAGGAAATTATCTTCCTTGTGGACCTCTGTCCTTAGTAACACTATTTCAGAGTTCGCGTCTTTGTATTTGATATTTGATCTCTCATTGACTGGAACTTGGCGTGTTGGTCGTTTTGTACCTACAGCATATTTTATACCAAGGTTATCGGGTAAACTATTATCGGAATTTCTGGTAACGTCAACTGAAGATGCTACAACTCCCGCTGCAAAATAAACTGTTAATATGGCGTTTTCACTATTATCGAAGGCGCTATGAATATAAATTGGATTGAATACCGACATGAAGAGCATTATTGTCAATAATAACTGGCGATGCCGATAGGATGATCCCCAAAAATCAAAAATATATTTTTTATGATAATGATGTTCCATATAGCATTTGATAAAATCGTATATACTTAATCCTTTATAAAAATAAAAGTAAAAACCATAAAAATTAATATATTATTATGTAATTTTTAAATTTAATAATATTTATTTTTTTTATTAAAAAATTTACCCAATATATTTTAAATTTCTAAAATCATTTTTTTAAAAAAAAAAATAAAATATTTATAAATATTTTTCAAATAATTAGATTATAAATTGGGGCGAGAAAAAATTTTTCTTTTATCGAAAAAGATTAATGTTTCTCTCAATTAAATATGACATCCTGACATACTATTAATACTGGTTTTAAAAATCGATAATAAAAATATTTTATTTTAATTATAATTTTATTTTGGCTATTTTTTTTTTGAATAATTTTATTAATTTTTCATCTTTTTATTTAAAAAAAAAAATTGGAAGGATATCTTTATAATACCTTGGTAGGTAGGGTTATTGTTTCAATTCAAGCAACAAAAATAGGAATAAAAGTTTTTTGCGCAATTTAACTTTATCTGTCCTATGGACACCTAAATATTTTGATTTAAAATTCGCATCTGATCATTAGATATAACTAATAAGGCCCCCATAGGCAATACCGAATATAATTAAATTAGAAGTTTTTAAATAAAAAATAAATAAGCAAAATGTCTAATTATAGCTAAGCCTGAAATGAGTGTGCCACCGACATCGTAAATTTTTGCCAGGTCGATAAAATTCATTTGAAATAGGGCGAATTTTGATTGCAGAGTTACTCCTGTTAGAAATATTTCACTAAAGTATATTCAGAAGTTGGAGGGAATCGAAATCCCTGACCCGTTAAAAGATCTTAAGATCGGGGCTGCGCAAAATATTAGCCACGTGATACATATATTTCTTAAAAGTTGGTACTAGACTAAAGTATTTTTTCACACAAAAAAATTATTATGAGCCAAGCCAGGCAACTTGTGCAAAATTATTTTACCGACCAAAGCTTCTAGGGCCGGTTCGCGCTAGATCCCTAGCCCTGACCTCTAATAAATATTTCCTACACTATGAGATTTATTAAGACTGGGTTGAGATAAGAAATGATAATTCTAATTAACTACAAATAAAGTTACCAATGAACAGTCAAAAGAAAAATAATTAATAAAAACATCATCCTTATACTTTAAAAATTAATTAATTTCTTTCTTTTTAAATCAAGCACACTATCTGCCATTAATAATTAGTAATGATAATGATACAACTATTTTTAGAAGAGGTATGCTATCCAAATTACCCAAAAAATTGAAAAATTATAACGAAGGCTAAACCAATAGAAGACCAACTAATAATCGAAATCTCACCAACATTTCTGAATTGGCTAAAACAATAGAAGACCAACTAATATGCAAAATCTCGCCAACATTTCTGAGTTTGGTAGAGAAAGACGATAACTTTATAGGAATGAACAATTAGGACAACTCAGTGGGCATCGCCAAGAACTCGCTAAATTTTAATAACACGGCGGATAGTTCAAACCACTAAAAATGCAAAAATATATTTCCCATTGTTATCCCAAAACAAAAGAGTAAAGTGTCACCAACTCTACAGACCTCCCCTACTCCTCACTATGGATTACCAATCTCAGAATCAACGTATTCACTAATACCGATCAAAACGTACAATAAGTCAGCATGCCGCTAATCCCCATTCCCCGGAACAAGCAAGATCAACTACATACAATATATATCGGTCGGGCAATACCGATACGAGGCCCTAACCAACGAAAAAAGGTGGCCACCTATGCATCCTAGCTCTATCAGAAATCTTGGAACATTTTATTAATTGTTATCATTTAATATTTAATCATTATTTATTTTAAGGTCTATATAAGTGAACTCTTAAGAATGTAGCATTTACTTTTTTTTTTATATCGACCAAATTCAACTCGATAAATTTTAAATGATAATTGTATTAAAGTTTTGAATTGAAATTTTAGCAATGAATTTTAAATTATAATTGTATTAAATATAGATTACTATGTTAAAAAAATTATTGAATCAATTGATAAAGTTATAAAATTTCTAACTGTTATAAAAAAAAAGACAAAGAATCTTATTTTATAGCGATTAATCCTTATTCTCGAAATTGAAGGTTTAGTTAGCGAAAAAGGGTCATAATTTTTTTTTTAATTTAATAGTGTATAAATAATATAATTTTTATTTTTTTGAGATAAACAAAAAACAAGTATACTTGGTTCAATTTTAATTTTATATAAAAAAATTTGATATCAATTTGGAAAATTAATTCATATATAAATTATTCATAAAAATGTAAAAACAAAAAATTAATATAAACTTTAAAAAATGAAAACTCAAAGAAATAATTTTAAGAAAAACATAATTGGGTCCCTAAGGAACAATAGTTAAATTTAAAAATATTGATCTGTATGTTCTATCTAAGAATTAAAAAATTCCCTAGGTTCAAGTGTGTTTTTTTTTAATTTACATTTTATAGATATAATATACATATATACATATATATATATATATACTAGATTTAATTATTCATAATATATTATACTTTATACAATTTGTTTAAAGTAGTTTTGTCTAACAAAATTACTCTAAGAATTATTTTTATTAAAATTAATTTTTTTTTCAAAATTATCTTTTATTTTTAAAGCCATAAAAAACATAATTAGAGAAAAACCACTTTAAAAAAAATTAAGATTATTATTTAGGTATTGTAGGATTTACGCAGTGAACTAAAATCAAGTTAAATTTACAGATTGTCAATTGTCATAGACATTTAAAATAAAAAGGTCCTTTGTCGTCTTGTTTTGGGCGAGATATTACGACTCTCGATTTTATATTTGTCGGTTAGTTACCTTGTCAAAAACATAATTAGTTACATAGCATGGCTAACTATATGAGTTCCTCAAATGTAATAGTTTACAGTTATATTATAGTTACAATAATTTTTTGATAATGCCTATTATAAGACACTTATACTACATTGAACAATAATAAAATAATTTATAATATGTTTAAGGTTTTTATCTAATAAGCCCATCACCCTGTCCCCATATATCTACTTTCTAATGATGAATAATGGATCGAGAAGGAACTTGAAAAATTACTGCATAAATGGTTTCTGGTCTCTTGCTTACTTAAAAGTGAAAACATCTTTCATTCGTTCTTAACATTGAAAATTCTATTAGTATTTGTCAATAATATAACTTTGAAATTTGTGTTTAAATTTTTTATCGTTTCAAGTAAAATCATAATTATCTCTACATTTAATAAGCTGTTTAATTATATTAGATTAAATAATTAAATTATCAAATCTTATTTAAATTGTTTATGTTTAGAATCTCATACGAGAGTTTACTCTGACTGTGTTCACATATTTAGATGGGTTTTTGGTGTTATATCTGAAAGGGCAATTTTATTATAAAGTATATATATATTATTATATCTTAGTTAATTTTTTCTGTTGGATTGTATGCGTTATCATTTGAATATACTATCTTTATGATTTGTGTTGAAAATTAGATTATGAATTGTAATGTATTAACTTTATATAAAATTGTATTTTGTTTAAGGATACAATTTATGGTATTTGATTGATTAACGTAAATGTATTTTCGTTGAAGATGTAAACACATTATTGTTAAAGTAAAATTATCTTTTGATCTTTTCATTTTGTTAAAATAAAATTATATTTTATTCTTATAAAACCTTTTATATCTTAAACAACACATGAATTTTGGTTTGGTAATAAAAGCATCTATGATTTACAATAACAGTGTTATGAAGATTATGAAACATATTGACGATTTAATATAAACACATGTATATCTAATATATTTAATCTCCATAATCAAAACATGATCGTTTTCGTATCTTCTTAATGTATTTAAAATTTAAGGAGACTATATAGTGTTTTTTTTGCTCTCTACTAGAGTCGAACCACAAATTTCCCGTTTCAAGGGAGTATGTTTTAAGTATGCACCAACTTAAATATAATTAAATTTAAAATATTAATTATATAAATATTAATTAATAGCTAATATTTTTAAAATTTTGCCGTTTATTACCCTAATAGCTGACGGGGTTGAAGGGAAATTATTTAGTTTGTGTCTATGGTACTAAATATACTTTATAATAAATTTTATATAAATATTAAAATTTAGGAGAAAAAGAGGTAAAATTGTCGCAATGTATACCGTGAGCATGTATTAGAAATAGCAAAATTTAAATTTGTGATGGAAATCATATTGGATAAAATTTTAAATAGAGATGCTTTAAGATTTTTGAATTTTAAATATGGGTTATACATTGGCCTGAATTTTTTTTTCTGCAGACATAGCCAGGCCTGATTAAAAAACCAAGCCCATGCAACTTTCATATTCTGATTTTATTTTTAAATGAATTATGACTTTTATATATTTTATTTCAGTTCTCAACTAACAAAATTATTATGGTCTTTGGCGGGCTTGAGAAAATTTTCCCAACAATATGGTTTCCAGAGACTTACCTATCTCTAGGCTGGAAAAAATTACAAAATTATTATGTGTTGGTCAAGTTTGAGAAAAAATTTTAGGCCAATGTCTGGTCCTTATTTAAAATTAAAAATATTCAAGCATATCTATTTTAAATTTTACCCAATATGATTTCTATCACAAATTTAAATTTTTAAATAAAATTAAATTTATGATATTGTTATTAAATTACAATAGAAATAAATGGAATACAAAATTAAATTTAAGACATTGTTATTAAATTACAATAGAAATAAATGGCAAAATTTTATGAAAGTTGCATGGGACTTAGTTTTTTGATCAGGCCTGACTATGTCTGCAAAAAAAAATTTCAGGCCAATGTATACCCCATATTTATAATTAAAAATTTTCCAAGCATCTCTATTTTAAATTTTATTCAATATGATTTCTATCA